TCGTCTTGCACTATCACTTATCTCTAGAATTCTGCTTTCATGATCCATTAGTTGTTTATCTCTCTGTTTCTCAGCTTCTTTATTTTGCATCATTTGGTCTTCTATATCACTAATTCTCTCTTCTCCCTCATTTATCCTAGCAGTTAGAGCCCCCATTTTTGATTGCACCTCACTAATAACCTTTTTGATTTCAACTTGGTTAGATTTTAGTTCTTTTTTTTTCTCCAGAAAGGGGTTCTCTAGTATCTTCCATGCTTTTTTCAAGCCCAGCTAGTATCTTCATAATCATGATTCTGAACTCTAGTTTCGACATCTTACTAATGTCTGTATTGATTAGGTCCCTGGCAGTCGGTACTGCCTCTTGTTCTTTTTTTTTGAGGTGAGTTTTTCCATCTTGTCATCTTGTCCAGAGGAGAATAGATGAATGAGAGAACAAAATGCTCACAGGGTAACAAGAACCCCAGAAAAGTATATACTAAACAAATCAGAAGAGACCCAAAACCAGGGGGGAAAAGAAAGAGAAAGAAAGAAAAAAAAAAGAATATGATCAAATATGATCAGGCTGGTGAATTGATCAGAGCCACACATTAGATTTTGGGTGTATTTTGGTCTGTTAGAAGACAATGCCTCCCAAAATTTCAAAGACAGAAAAACTTGTGTATGTACAAAAATAAGGGTAAATACAATGAAGGGATGGAATATGATTGTAAAGATGAAAATTATAAAAGATTTTATAAAAGGAATTGATAAGATAAGAAGTTGGTTGAAAAAAAGAAAGAAGAGAAATTTAAAAAAAGTGAGAGAATGTGATCAAGCAGGAGACTAGACCAAGCTATACATTAGAGATTTAGGGTATATTTTGGTCTGTTAGAATAAACCGTATCCCAAAATTTTGAAGAGAGAACAACTTATATATATATATATATATATACACACACAAAAAAAATAAGGTTTACTACAATGAAGGGATAGAATATGACTCTAAAAATGAAAAATAAAAAAGATTTAAACAAAAGATTGATAAGATGTTGATTGAAAAAAGGAAAAAGAAAAATTCAAAAAAAATAGAAAAAGAAAAAAAGAAAATAAAAAAAAATTAACTTTGAAAAACTAAAGAATCATGGGAAAAAAGCCATGAATTCTATGTGCTGTATTCCCCTAGTGCTGGCATTCTGTCGTTCTCATTGATCAGTAAACTTGGTCTTGGCCAGCTGTTCTTATGGATCTTCTGGGGGAGGGGCCTGTTGCAGTGATTCTCAAATGTCTTTGCTGGAGCAGAATTACCCCGCCCTTGTCAGGGGCTGGGCTAAGTAATCTGCTTGGGTTTGCTCTCGGGAGCTTTTGTTCCCTGCACGCTTTTGGTACAGCTTTGGAGGATGAGATTGAAAATGGCAGCCTCCCAATCTCTGCCCCAGAGGAGCCAAGGACTCGGCCCCGCTCCTCAGTGCATCCCCAGAGAAAAGCAGTCAGTCACTCCTGTCTCCCTGGTCTCCGGCAGCAGTCCATGCTCACCTGGCCTGTGACTGAGTGTTTCAATCTCTGGCACACAACCCCATGTGGAGTCTTGAAACCCAGCAGATCCCTGCGGTGCGCTCCCATGCCGCTCCTCCTGGGGGAGGAAGGGAAGTATCCCCGGATCTGCCACTTGTTGGGTCCCTGCTGGAGGAGCAGTGGCCCGGCTGTGCCACGGATCATGGTTTATGGCAACCCCGAGCTGAGAGCCCGCTCCTCGGCTCCATCTCTGCAGCCGGCTTCCCTGCTCTGATACCTGGGAGCTCTGCCTCACTCAGGCACCCCCGGTCTTTCTGTTACCCCAAGCGTCTTGAGACCACACTGTCCCAGTGAGGGTTCCACCGCCCCTACTTCCCCCGCCACACTTAGCCCCTGGAGCGACGTCCCTCAGTGAAGCAGACTTCTAAAATTTCAAATTTTTTGCTCCACTGCTCTATCACTTGACAGTAGCCAGCTCCCTTCCCCTGCAGTCTATCTTCCCAAATATCACCTTGGATTCACTTCTCCGCATGTCCTACCTTCCAGAAAGTGGTCGCTTTTCTGTTCAGAGTTGCTGCTATTCTTTCCTTCAATCTCCTGTTGAGTTTGTAGGTGTTCAGAATGGTTTCATACCTATCTAGCTGAATTCCTGGAACCAAATGAAATTTCCTCCTCCACCACCTTGCTCCTCCTCTCAAGACTTGAGAAATGGTTTCTTAATACAAATAAAACCCCCAAAGAGAGAGCACCTCAAACCAGTCAGAATGGCTAAATTTAACATGTCAGGAAACAACAAATTTTGGTGAGGATGCAGAGAAAGTGGAACCCTCCTACACTGTTGATGGGAATGCAAGCTGGTGCATCCACTTTGGAAAACAGTATGGATGTTCCTCAAGACATTATAAATAGTGCTACCCTACAACCCAGCAATTGCACTACTAGGGTATTTACCCCAAAGATACAAATGTAACGATCCAAAGGGGCACATGCACTTCGATGTTTATAGCAACAATATCCACAATAACCAAACTATGGAAAGAGCCAAGATGTTCATCAACAGATTAATGGATAAAGAAGATGTGACATATATATGAAATGGAATATTACTTAGCCATCACAAAGGATGAATACTTACCATTCACATCGAAATGGATAAAACTGGAGGGTATTACTATAAGCGAAAGAATTCAATCAGACGAAGACAAGTATCATATGCTATCACTCATATGTGGAATATAAGAAACAGTGCAGAGGATCATCGGGGAAGGGAGGGAAAAGGGAATGGAAAGAAATCAGAGAGGGAAACAAACCATGAGAGACTATTAATTATAGGAAACAAACTGAGGGTTGCTGGAGTGGAGGTGTGTGGGGGGATGGGGTTATGGGGGTTGGGCATTAATGAGGGCGCCAGAGGTGATGAGCAGTGGGTGTTATGTGTAACTGATGAATTGTTGAACTGTACATATGAAACTAATGATGTACGGTATGTTGCCTAGTTGAATTTAAATAAAAAACTGCTTAATTCACTTCTGCCACATGTAGTAATTTAAACACATTGACAAGAACATTGTAAGCTTCTCTCAAATTCAGTTAAACTGAAAGCTTCTAATTGAATAGCAGGATTCATATGCTGAAAATATACTTTCTGATTGGATAATATTTAAAAATCATAACAGATGGGGCATCTGGGTGGCTCAGTCGTTAAGCATCTGCCTTCAGCTCAGGTCATGATCCCAGGGTCCTGGGATCGAGCCCCGCATCGGGCTCCCTGCTCCGCGGGAAGCCTGCTTCTCCCTCTCCCACTCCCCCTGCTTGTGTTCCTGCTCTCGCTGTCTCTCTCTGTCAAATAAACAAAATCTTTAAAAAAAAAACATAACAGATGATTTTCCTGGAGATTAATTCCTTTATCTCCCTGCCCCGTTCAGCACACAGGATGGTCTGAGCTGTTTGCTTCAGCAGAGACATAGCAGCAGGTCTCAAGGATAATATTGTTCTGTGTCTGGTTTTGAGGCAACAGAACAAACAGAACCCACACCTTAGAGAAAATCCTTGGGGGACCCCGAAATGAGTCGAAACAAGGTTTTCCTGCTCACCTAATGAAGCATAGAGTGAACGGTTGGACACACTTTTTGTAGGCCTTTCGTGCAGGTGGCCGGACCCCAGAGGAGGAATGATACCATAGAACATGTAGGTGTAAGAGGCTGAGGGGGCAGAGGAGCCTCCCTGGGGTCCCTGTGCTCCCAGGAGGTTTCAGGGCAGCAGAAGGATTCTTAAGTGAGAAGAAATGACCGTGTCACATGTACAGGCAAATGGGGATGTAGAAACTGTCACTTCCAAGCCAGTATGCATGGCAAAAGTAACGTTATCTTGAGATGGGCACCTATGTCCTTGTCATAACAAAGAGACAGGGGGACCGAAGTTCCAACGACCAGATAAGGTCACAGCCATGGCTGCCTGGTCTAGAGGCAAACAGGCACAGCTTGCTAGCTCCATCCAATAAGTATGTCCTGGAGAGACTGTGGAGGAATTATCAGTTATGGGGGCTGACATCAGGAAGTATAAGAAGACAGAACTTGAGAAACTTTGTCCATAGGGAGTCTGCCCTCAACTCTATGTATGTTTTGGGGGCAGGGTCCAGCCTGGGTCAGGGGGCAGCTTAGGGTCAGGTAATAAAGTATACTAGAAGTCAGTGATTAAAATGCTGCTTTGCCCATCCCTTAGGTTGCCTGTGTATTCACCACAGAATGGACATTGTACCCCCAAGTGATGGCAGCCACTGGGACCTTGTCAGGGCAGCACAGAGGTTGGTAGGAAGAAGTTAATGCATGTTTGTAGGCACTCACCTGTCTACCCTTGTCCTGTCTTGCCCTATAATCTAAGGTTATTGTCCATGAAGAAAGGAGAACTTAGACTCATTATAATGGTTGCAAAAGCTAGGCAGGAAAAATAAAGGGACCCATGAAAGGGAGCAGTGGAAAGATGTGATGTACTGTGGTCGGGTATTGAGGAGGACTTGTCAGAGGAAATGAGTCAACTTGGAGTCTGAAGGGGATGTCTCTGGGCCAGTGAAAAGGTAGGAGCAATGTATTCCAAATCACAGAATTAGCATATGTTTACACAGCTGATGTGGGAGCAAGCACAGAATGCTGGACATGAATCCAGAAGAATGGTCAGTAAGTCAAGGAGAAATGGATGAATGGAGAACATAGGGGATAAATATCCTCTTATGTTCATCTCTAATTGTCTGGCCACTTCCCACCCCTACTCCTGGACCAAGCCGGTAACCCTCTTGAGATCAGGAATTATGTCAAAATGCATACCTTGCAAATAGCAAAGGCCTTCTAATACCACAAAATCTCAGTATCTGCATTTGATAAAATAATGGGTGGTTTTTGGTAATTATAGTATTTACACATCATAGCAAATTACTAAGAAGCTCTTTCAAGGTCATGACAAGTCCAAGAGCATGTTGTGGAGAGGTACAATTAATGGGAAGAGGAAGATGGTACCTTGGTTGAAGAACTGCTGGCTGGGGTTGGTGGAGTCATTTGAGGAGTCTGAGGGTAGCTCCAAGTTGACTGTGTACTGGTTACAGATGGTCCTGGAAGCTGACTTTGTCCCTGGGTTGGCTGCGTCCTCTTGGATTCATCATTTTGTTTGGTTTTGATTTTCTTTTTCTGAAAGTAATTTTTGCCCCTGGTTAATGGTTTTCAACATTAGATGAAACACACCATTACTAGTGAGCAAATCAACTTTTTATTACTAGTTTCTAATTGTGCTAAAATTTCTGTGCTCACAAATTCCAGGAGGTACATGGATTCCATCCTCTCAGGAGGCGACTGGAAAGCAGGCAACCCACACACATGACTGATGCACACAAGAGCCTGGAAATTCCCCTCATCAATGTGTCAAGAATGCTGTGCTGGAATTTATAAAATCTACATTTGAATTTTGTGTCTTTAAGCAACCTTTGGCAAGCTGCTCTCCTAGTGTGACTTCCAATTTTGTGCACATCTCAAGAGGGGTCATGACTCCACATCTCGTTTATGTGGAGTTATACACACATGTTATGTGCATACGGTTCTGAAACATCATGGGTGATTAATAACTAAGAGTTTGCTGACACTGCACCTCATTTTCATACTGCCCCTGGAATCCCTTTTCTCCACTCTTCTATTTGCAGGTTGAGAAATGAATAAAGCACTCAGTGTACACAAGAAGGTAATAAGTGGGAGAGCATAGAAGAAGTTTCTTCAGCGGGACCTCTGCCAACCTACCTTGGACATGGGTGTGTCATGGACTGATACCAAAGTTTCGTTCCTAGTAGATGTGGATTCGTCAGTACTGGATGCATCCTGCTTTCTTTTCTTCACGGGCATTTTTCCTTTTACTCTGCATTTCCTCATAACTGAAGCAGTTAAAAAGAACATGATAAATCCAAAGGAGCTGGTCTAGGGCAGCTGTAGCATTTCCAGTGCTATGTCCTGCTTGTGGGTCTGGGAATGCTAGTGTGCTCCCCTCCTGCGTCAGCCCACCGGACAGGTGACCGGAGCTGACTCATACCGCCAGTTTCCTTGCTTCCCTGGGGACACAAGCACACCCCTCCATCCGCTGGACTCCCAGGTACTTCAGTCAAACCCTTTTCCAACCCACTTATCCTATATGTTCTTTTCAAGAATCTGCAGTTTTGGGGCACCTCAGTGGCTCAGTCTGTTATGTGTCTGCCTTTGGCTCAGGTCATGATCGCAGGGTCTTGGGATCGAGCCCCACATGGGGCTCCCTGCTCAGTGGGGAGTCTGCTTCTCCCTCTGTCCCTCCCCCTGCTTTTCTCCCTCTCTCTCTCTATCAAATAAATAAATAAAATCTTAAAAAAAAAAGGATCTGCAGTTTTCATGATGCAATTGGTGGGTTAACTCCTACGGAAGGTCTGTTTGAATTACAGAAACCAGAGAAAGAAAATCTGATCTAATTGGTGATGGGACAAATTGGTGATACTGGACTTGATGTTTTAAAAAGTTTTTAGGATCCAGTGATTTTAGAAGAGGCAAATTCTTCACATCCCTGAGAGTTGGCTTTTTCTTTAAGCATTGCCTTATATTTGTTCATAAAGAATATAGTAACGATGGAGTAAATATTGTAACAGAGCAGTATATGAACTGAATGAAGTATTTTTAAATCTCACAATTTTTCCTAATTTTTTTGTCCCTGATCAACCTTCATAATATGTAGAAGTCTCTGCCTTTCTAGTGAGCTCTTTCTGCTTTTTTCTTTACTGGCACCCCCAAAATACACCCTGTAAAATACAGCGGACCTCTTTGTAGGAGAGGAATTGTCTAAGTTGTCGACTTGTTGGTGTCTGAAGGGCTGTCTCATTCCCCGCTGCCCATTTGGACATTGGGAAACGGACCTCTCAGGTGTGCCAACACCAGGGCTCTGGGGGGTGTCTCTAGGGGGCCCAGACCCTGACAGTGAGGGCTCTTGTCCATTACCTTTTTTCTTCTCATTTTTAAGAATCTTAACAATGTCTCCAAGTCCTTCCATGTCCTTGAACAGATCTATTAGCTTGTCCACACAGAGAGGCCCCCGGAACTTCTTTTCCATCAGGTCAGCAATCCTGACCTTGTTATATTCTTCTTGCATTTTTGTAGTCAGTTGCAAATCATGGGCCAGTAGGGACTTAACCATGCTAAACCTGTAGTCATCTATGGGCTGTAATCCTTTCAGCAGAATAATCCTCTTGTACTCACTCATCTCTCCAGGTGTGGCTGAGCCTGCAAGAGAAAAATACCATACGGTGTTACACCTTTCTCCAGATGATTTAAAAGTCTGGTTGTGTCTCTGTGAGTGAGTGGCCCATGTCAAGGTGTCGTCCTTGAGTGTTATGTGACAAAGAGGAACTTAATTTCCAGGTGTGTCACTATGGGTTGAGAACTGCTGTATTCGGGACTTCTAAGAAATTCTTTCCTTTTAATAATGATAGTTGAGTTGGGTGGGGCGTGGGTATGATGGCAGGAGGTCTGGAAAGAGGGCTTGCTGTTGCCTTATGTAGAGTGTGGGCTGTAGGGGGTCAGAGTCCCCGCTCCCTCCTCCCATCCTGTGTTGGGGCTGCAGTCTCTCCCTGGATGTCCGCCTGCTGGCTCTGGACTCTGCCACCCACTCTGCCTGAAGGAGCCCATGTGCAGAGTGGGCTGCAGCCTCTCACCCCTGGTGATTGTCCTCCCTGCTGGGTACCTGCCCAGCACACTTGACCCTTCCCTAGTCAGCGCTTCTCGCATCTTCTCTCCCTGGGGCTTGGGCCATGTTCTCCGTGTCCTCTGTGCCCTGCTCCCGATTGATCTCTCTCGTGCAGAATCACAGCCATGATTGGCTGGCACTATTTAGTAGTCCTGTGGCTGGAGTTCTGCTTTCTTGCTAAAGCAAGAACCCAGCATTTATTGTCTGGAATTATTTCAATAGTTGCTTGATTTTACCCTTCTAGGCTGAATTCCTCTTATCAGTTCTTTTTGGAGAGCCTGAGATCCCTCTATGGGGCCACGTTTCTAGCCCACTTGACATCCTCCAATAGTTCCCTATTTTGGTTTTGAAAAATTTCTTGCTCCTTAGCCTAGCTTGGAAAGCCTTGAATACTCTGCATCTTTTTTACATCTGTAACTTTTGCATTTTGTATGTTGTATACTCCAGAAATATACAACACACCTTGCTTTTCCATGTTTCATGACTTGGCTAATTCCCTCTCTTCTTCTTAAAGGGCGAGTCTCACTTTACTTCCCCCAACTACCTCCTTATAGCCTTCAAGACTCCACTGAGGTTTTGTCCTCTGAAAGCCCCCAGAATCTGGGACTGGGTGTCACTCCTCTGGGCCTCTTTATTACCTTATGTACTTCCTTGATGGCACTCAGTACATGGTAGGAATTCCAATTTTCTGTTTAAATTAATCAATTCTTTTCATTTAGGGTCCGTGTGTTTGTGTACTTTTTGTATAATTGGCATGTTCAAATTCCCAGGGCTGTGAATTATTCTTTCTTGAGAAATTGTGAACACTCCCAGATTGATCAGGTCCATAGGGTGAAGGATAAATCCTCAAGATATATTATAGGGGAATTGAAGATTATTAAAAACAAAGTAAAAACTCTGAAAGCTTCTAGAGATAAAGAGTAGATCACCTGTAAAGATTCAAGGATCAGATTGAAACTGATGTTCAACAGCAAAGCTGGCCACCACAGGAAATAGGGTGATTTTCATCAGGACTCGTCCAAATGCCATACTGATTTAAAAACCAAATAATTTTTCAAGTGAAATTTTTGTGTTTTGTGTGTGTGACAACATAATTTATTTGCAAAATAAAACCAGATATAAGGTGACAGGAGGCTATGTATAATCTTTATTCATTCCACTCAAATGTGAACACTCATATGTTTTATTGTTAAATATCGGTGTCTTTGATTTTAGAGTAATGATCCAGATCCCACTACAGTGTCCGGTATTAGGGTATTTAAAGTAGGTGTATTAAATAATGTTTCTAAAATGCCCCAATTCTAAATTTCAAAACATATGTAGCCCCAGGGCTATCAGAAAATGTACTGTCTCCCTATCTTGAGGGCAAAATGATTTTAAGAGGTGAATTTTAATCTAGCCAAGATGATATTTAAATGTGAGGGCCTCTCCAACAGGCACATGAAAAAGTGCTCAACATCGCTCGGCATCAGGGAAATCCAAGTCAAAACCTCAATGAGATACCACCTCACACCCGTCAGAATGGCTAAAATTAACAAGTCAGGGAACGACAGATGTTGGCGGGGATGTGGAGAAAGGGGAACCCTCCTACACTGTCGGTGGGAATGCAAGCTGGTGCAACCACTCTGGAAAACAGTATGGAGGTTCCTCAAACAGTTGAAATTAGAGCTACCATTCGATCCAGCAATTGCACTACTGGGTATTTACCCCAAAGATACAAATGTAGGGACCCGAAGGGGTACGTGCACCCCAATGTTTATAGCAGCAATGTCCACAATAGCCAAACTGTGGAAAGAGCCAAGATGTCCATCAACAGATGAATGGATAAAGAAGAGGTGGTATATATACACAATGGCATATTATGCAGCCATCAAAAGGAATGAGATCTTGGCATTTGCAACGACGTGGATGGAACTGGAGGGTGTTATGCTGAGTGATATAAGTCAATCAGAGAAAGACATGTATCATATGACCTCACTGATATGAGGAATTCTTAATCTCAGGAAACAAACTGAGGGTTGCTGGAGTGGTGGGGGGTGGGAGGGATGGGGTGGCTGGGTGATAGACACTGGGGAGGGTATGTGCTATGGTGAGCGCTGTGAATTGTGCAAGACTGTTGAATCACAGATCTGAAACAAATAACGCAATATATTTTAAGAAAAAAGAAAAAGAAGAAGATAGCAGGAGGGGAAGAATGAAGGGGAGTAAGTCAGAGGGGGGACGAACCAGGAGAGATGATGGACTCTGACAACAAACTGAGGGTTGCTGGAGTGGTGGGGGGTGGGAGAGATGGGGTGGCTGGGTGATAGACATTGGGGAGGGTATGTGCTATGGTGAGCACTTTGAATTGTACAAGACTGATGAATCACAGATCTGTACTTCTGAAACAAATAATGCAATATATGTTAAGAAAAAAAAAGAAGAAGAAGATAGCAGGAGGGGAAGAATGAAGGTGAGGAAGTCGGAGGGGGAGACGAACCACGAGAGACGATGGACTCTGAAAAACAAACTGAGGGTTCTAGAGGGGAGGGAGGTGGGGGGATGGGTTAGCCTGGTGACGGGTATTAAAGAGGACACATTCTGCGTGGAGCGCTGGGTGTTACGCACAAATAATGAATCACGGAACACTACATCAAAAACTAATGATGTAATGTATGGTGATTAACATAACAATAAAAAATTACTAAAAAAACATAAATAAATATGAGGGCCTCAGAAACTATTCTCTGATATTCAAGGCCTTGCTAGTTTGTAAGACAAAGACCTATATGTAAACATCTATTGGAGGAAATATTCGATACGAAAAATAACATATAGAGCCAAGAAATACTGCAGGCCCAAAGGTAAGTAAGAGCAGGAACTGAGCTTGATGAGGTGTGCCTATGTCTTCCACATAGATACAGCTCTGACTGAAGATGAGAGACAGGAAGCACATCAACATGGCAGAGGGAGGGAGGAGAGTGAACCGGGCAGTTCACTAAAGTATTTGTCTTCAAGGGTAAGATAAAGAAATGAGCAAAAACAGAAGTACAAGAAAGGAGAATATAGAAATGTCATAAATGTAATTGAGGATAGCAGAAACAAAACCATACATGCTAATCATCAATATATACATAAATGGCCTAACCAGTTAACTGACAAATTTAGTCAAATTGCATTTATGGAAAAAAAAAACCCTGCATTTATGAAATCTGCCAATAGAATGTTAAGAAAATATTACTTAAAGGTGGGAAAGTGAAAGAAAAATATTTTATCGTGCAAAGAGTAACTAAAAGAAAACCAGTTATCTATACTAGTGTAGCTTTAAATAGACCTGAAGATAAAAGGTACCACCAGAGATTAACATAACAATAAAAAAATTTTACGAAAAAAAAAAAGTATCACCAGAGTACCACACAATGACAAAGGCTGACCTCCTAGGGAAACAAAACAGTTGTAATTATGTATTTGCCTGCTAATAGCAAATATATATTATTGTTACTTTATATTCCTTTATAATGCTATACTACTACATATTATATTTTATAACATGATTTACATATTATAATATAAAAATTAAATTTGTAGTATTATGTAGCATGTTTCTCTTCACACATGTTTCTCTTCACACATCCAAACACATTTTATATACATGTGTACATATATATTATATTATTGTATATATAAATTTGAGAGAACTACAGGACAAAAACCTCACAGTTTTATGGTAGGAGATTTTAGCATATTTCTTAATTACTAAACAAGGTAAAAAAAATTCAGTAGAGATTTAGGAAATAGGACTAACATTATTAATAAACATAATTAACAAGTTTTATGTAACATACATAAAATTCTGAAATCAGCATTAAAAATCTCACACTCTAATCAAGCACATACGGAATATTATTATACAGGCCATACAGAAAATCGCTCAACAATTCTGAAAGTCTATTTGTAACTGATTCTCCCTTCCTCTCCCCTATACTTTGCCACTAGAAAAAAAATCAGTAATTTTCAGGAAGGCAGACAGTAATGCTAAAAGGAACTGAAATAAAAGCTCTGGCGGTATAGTCTGAAGTATAATATAATAAACTGTCACAGGGTGCCTGGGTGGCTCAATCGTTAAGCGTCTGCTTTTGGCTCAGGTCATGAGCCCCGGGGTCCGGGGATTAAGCCCCACATCAGGCTCCCTGCTCAGCGGGAAGCCTGCTTCTCTCTCTCCCACTCCCCCTGCTTGTGTTCCCTCTTTTGCTGTCTCTCTCTGTCAAAAAAATAAATAAAATCTTAAAAAAAATTAAAACTGTCTTAAGAGAGGTAAAGAAGTCATGTTTTTGAGTAACTGTGTCTGCGGAAGTGAAAGTTTTTCTGCTCTGTGCATGTATGTGTGTGAGTGTTTTCTAAAATCAGGGTAAGACCATACAACACAGCTTTAAACCCAGATGTATTTTTTACTTAATATTATGTTCTCATACTTTCCTCATGGCCCCAACTTGACTTCTGCCCAGAACTCTACCAAGGCCACCAAGAGTTTCATGGACACCACCTAGGGAAGAAAACCAAACCCTTTTTCTAAATATAACTCATGCCAATAGTCACCTGGGAAACAAATTTTAATGTCTTCTAAGGTCAAAATGCATCTGCCTTCGTGCAGGTGTCAGGTGTGGTGGGATAACCATGTCTGTTCCTTGTCTAGGTATTAAAGGATTAGAATCAAGCTACTAATGTTTTCATGTCTCCGACTATAGTTGATACCAGCCCCCCCCCCCATCCAATTCTTCATACCCGAAGCCCCCTGGTTGTTTTGTGTTTAGCCAGCAGGGACCCAGAGCTGTCTACAGAAAGCCCACAGGGCCTCACCTTGCTGAAAATCTCCACGAGTCCGGATCCTGAGGTCTTCTTCAGAAATGCAGGAATCACTGCTTATTTTGCTTGAGGAGGAAGATAAATCAACAAAGCTCTCGGAGACTGAACTGCAGGCTGTGATAATCTCCCGAAGGGCAGAGGAAAAAGAAGTATTTTGAAAGATAACAAACACAGATGGCACTGCTTAGAGTCACTGAAAACTTCACTGGTGGTGGTTTCCTGAAACTGCACTGTGCCCTGGAGAGAGAAGTTGCAACACGATTTTGAGACACCTCCCTCCCATGCTCTTAGCTTTCGATTTCATTAGTCAGAGAAAATAAACAGTTTCCTTTCTGTACTTAATCAAAATGAAAGATTATAGCAAAAGTATAATTGAGTTTTTGTTACAAATGTCAGTAGATGGAAGGAGTTCCAACATTAGAACTCCAGCAGACTTACATGTGGGTCATTAGAAACCTATATTCCCGTAAATGACACTCAAATGTAAGAAAAATTAAGATGAGTCACCAGGCTGCTTATCCCTCATTTCCTGTTCTCAGAGTGGTAGGAGGAGATGTTGGAAGAGGCATCTCTTTCTACCAGTACTTGACTGTACCTCCAGGAAGAGGGTAGGTCGGCTATGAAATCACTCTTGGTTTAAATAGTGCTGGAAGCACTCACCCAGTTAATAACTGACACACCTGGAGCTTGACAGACGTAGGTCATTACGAATATGTGAATCCTTCCTCAAAGATATAGCAAGGAAGTTACCCTCTCAACTATGTCTAGGCTACTTTACCTCACTAATAAAATTAATGATCACTCACATTTTCTGCATTATTCATGGAGAAAACACAGGTGGGTAGTAAGCTCATATCATGGCAGCATAAGCTTTTGTAATTTCTGGAAGAACACTGAACCTCTGGACTGAGAAGGGCTTGATAAACCTCTTGTTCTGTGGTGTTTTTTCTGTGAAGGACAGTGGATGCATTCCAGAGTACCATAAACAATGACATGTCAAATAAATGGCATCAATCAGCTGACATGATGGTTGAAACCCACCAGCCGATCTGCAAGTAGGATGAAGCCAGGGCTGGAAAAGGATCCCAAAGGATAGCTGGTGTTGGTGAATGATCCGAGGTCATCTAAAGAGAAGAAAGCTGATTATTTTAATCCAGACTGTAGTAGTGGAGTGGAGAGCTGAAGTCTAGATGTGGGAGCATCTGAAAGCATGAGTAAAGTCATGGGAAGGTGAGAGGGATCTGGCGGGATCCCCACAAGTACCTGTGGGTGTTCCCTCCTTCTTTTCAAGGCTATAGGTTTTTATGGTGCAGGGAGCTGGTCTTAAGATAATGGGTGGAGAGGGACATTAGGGAGGTCAGAGAGGACCCCATCCCAGAGATCAGAGGATAGAGGACACTGGGGGGAATGACGATATCAGGATATTTTCCTGCCCCTTTTCTTGTCATCAGTTCATGTGGAATAACGTCCTTGTGACTCCAGCAAGCAACACGCAGATAACTGTCATCAATAAGGACAATTCAGAGCAATGTTCCATAATTCATTCAGTACAGTTGTAATTATAATAGATGAAACAACAGAATGTTAAAAGAAATGTGCATTTTCCTGACTTACAGGCAGTAGCCAAACAATTGGTGATTTATGCTGTCATGCAAAAAGCTCACTAGTAGAACATACAAGAACTCTTGATACAGAGAAAAATGGATACACTTACATGACTCTTTATTATCTGAAGTATTAATTCACATAGTCAAAATCCTCAGGAAAAGTCCCCACCGGATTAATGTCCTGTGGGCCAAACCTAATACACTCTCTGTTTTTGTGAATAAAGTTTTATTGGAACACAGGGGCGCCTGGGTGGCTCAGTCAGTTAAGCGGCTGCCTTTGGCTCAGGTCATGATCCCAGGGTCCTGGGATCGAGCCCCGCATCGGACTCCCTCCTTGGCGGAGAGCCTGCTTCTTCCTCTCCCTCTGTCTGCCGCTCTGCCTACTTGTGCTCTCTCTGTATGTCTGTTAAATAAAAATCTTTAAAAAAAAAAAAAAAGGAACGCAGATATGCTCATTTACTTATGCATTGTCTATGTCTGTCTTCATGATGCAACTGTGGAGCTGACTAGCCACAGAGCCTAAAGTTTCACTATATGGCTCTTTATAGAAAAAAATTTTTGTCAACTTGCACCCTAAGCCATCAGTCTAGGACATAGCAGAGGGAATCTAAGGAGAAAAGCAGAAGTAAGTAAAAGAAAATCACATCAGGAAACCATGATCAGGCCTTCTCAAATCCACACTGGGCCCATGGAGAACGGCTTAGTGATAAAGTTTGTGTCTAAAGTGTATAAATTGTTCCCTTTGTTTGTGCTCGGGGCTCAGACCTTTGCAGACCTCTCTCCTCTGAGCCCACCAGTGTTCAATAAACCTCCTATCCTCCAAGATCTCCAGGTGCTGCTTCCGTCAGGCAATCCAGTCCAGGTCCTGTAACATTTGGTTCCCTGACTGGGAAACCCAACAACGCTGGCCCATTGTTGCCCCCGGTTTGGGGGCAACGGCGGGGCGGTGACTGAATGAGGGATGATTGAAATGGAGAAGGCGCGCCCTGCCTGATTTTCGGCAGTCTCCCGCCCCGGTCACCTCAGGCCAACCCCGCTCCACTCTTCCCGCCAGACTTGAGGAGACTTGGCAGGTAAGGACCAGGTCCCAACACTGGATTCCAGTAAGGCCATGGGCTCCAGGACCCAGACAGGCCCACCTCCATTGGGGTGGAAGGGGAGCCTGATCACCTCCCAGAGACCTCTTAGAGCTCTCACAGATAGGGATTCCCAGGGAGGGAATGTAATAACTTCTGGAGTGTGAATGTGTGAGTGAATGTGCAGTCTGACCTGGCTTGCTCAAGCAGACTGATTCTGTGACTCCACGGGTGGGCACCCTTACGGTCCCCAGAAGCCTACAGAGTCTATGTGGGCCCATCTGTGATTCCATGGTGAAAGGCATACAGTCTATGGTGGCATCTGAATAGTTTCTGATCATAAGTCACAACAATGAGACCCCTACAGTTAAGCCTCACCTAAGCTCTTTCGGAACATGGCCAGACAGGCATCTGATTGGTCTCCTCACCTCAGGAGGCACCCCCCGCTTTGTCTGTCTCTGCCACTGCACATGGGGACATCACCATGGGGTCAGGGCAGAGTAAACCTATGGCTCTAGAGACCATGATCAAAAATTTCAAGAAGGAGTTTTTGGGAGACTATGGAGTCAGGATGAACCCCGGCAAGTTGAGAACCCTATGTGAATTGGAATGGCCCACCTTTGATGTTGGGTGGCCTTCAGAGGGGACATGGGATGCCCCAATGATTCATCGAGTATGGTGAGTTGTAACAGCAGAACCAGGACACCCTGACCAGTTTCCGTACATTGACTCCTGGCTAGGAGTTGTTCAGACCCTTCCCCACTGGGTGCAATTCACTTGAGTCTTAATCACCTCATCCAAGCAACCTAAAGAAAATCAGCAAATGCCCCAGTATCCACAAATCCTAGCCAGATATCCCAAGGATGAACCGACCCTGGCCCCACCGTATGTACCCCCAAGACCATCCACACCTGGCCCTTCAGCTCCAGACACTCTGCCACCATCGGTTTTACTGGTGCCCCCAGGCCCAGAAGATCCACTGGTGCCCCCAGGCCCAGAGGATCCACCAGCACCCCCAGGCCCAAAAGATCCACTATCTCCAGGACCAGCAACCAGGCTGTGCCCCAGTCAAAATGAAGGTGGGGGGCCAACCAGTGACTTTTATGGTTGATACTGGGGCCGAGAACTCTTGTCACCTCCCCAGTGGCACCTTTCATCAAAAGGACTGCGACCATCCTTGGGGCCACCGGGATGTGGGCAATACAACAGCCCTTTTGCCAGACTCACCAGTGTGAACTCGGGGGCACAAGGTCCAACATGAATTCCTTTATCTGCCTGATTGCCCCATCCTTCTCCTGGGCCGAGACATACTCTCCAAGCTTAGGACTCAAATAACCATTGAGCCCACAGGACACACTAGCCTCTGATTGAACCCAAGGCAAGAGGAGACGGGGTCTCTAATACTAGCAATTACCATGCCAAGGGAAGAAGAATGGAGGCTATTCTGTGCCCAGGCCCAACCTAGCAGCCTGCCGGAGTTCAAACTTGCCTTCCCTTCAGTATGGGCTAAAAACAACCCATCTGGACTAACCCAGAATCAGGCCCCTAACATTGTTGAACGGATCCCAGGAGCCCAACCTCAGAGGCAAACGCAATACCCCCTTCCACAAGAAGCTAAGATCAGCATCCAAGAACATCTGACCAAACTCAAAGAAGCAGGTATTCTAGTCAAGTGCCAGTCAGCCTGGAATACCCCACTCCTGCCAGTCAAGAAGCCGGGAGGGGGATACTGACCAGTTCAAGACCTAAGGCTATCAACAAGGTGACCATCTCTCTGCACCCAGTGGTCCCGAATCCATACACCTTCCTTGGCCAAATCCCAGGGTCGGCCAGATGTTTCACTTGCCTAGATTTGAAGGATGCCTTCTTCTGCCTCCACTTAGCCCCCAGAGCCAGCCACTGTCTGCCTTTGAAGGGACTGAACCTGATACAGGGCGCCAGATGCAACTGACTTGGACGCGCCTCCCGCAGGGGCTTAAAAACTCACCAACCCTCTTTGGGGAAGCGCTGGCCATGGACCTCACCTGCTTCCCAAGAGAGGCCACCTGATGCACCCTCCTCCAGTATGTGGATGACCTCCTCCTCACCAGTGACACCCAAGAAGACTGCACAAAAGGCACAAAGGCCCTCCTACAGCTCTTGTCAGACTCGGGATACCGAGCCTCATGGAAGAAGGCGCAAAGCTGCCAACAACAGGTCTGATACCTCAGTTTCCTTCTCACCCAAGGGAAGACAGAACTAGGGCCAGAGAGGAAAATGGTCATCATCTTCCTGCCACAGCCCCAGACAAAAAGGGGCCTACGAGAATTCCTGGGGGCTACAGGATTCTGCCACATCTGGATGCCTGAGTTCTCGGCAATAACAAGACCCCTTTATGATCTCTTAGGGGGACCAGATCGAGAACCCCCTGCCTGGACTGAGGAAGCAGAAGCCGCTTTCACAGAGATAAAGATTATTCTGGGGTGGGCACCAGCCCTGGGCCTACCAGATGTAGAAAAACCCTTCAATCTCTTTGTGCATGAAAAGGAAAAAATAGTGCTCAAGATACTCACCCAGACTGTTGGACCCTGGCA